TCCTCATTTGTCAACTGCTTATAACAAAGGGCTGTGAGGAGGGTTGGGTGTACAGAGCTTTGTGGGATTCAATTCCCCCATCAGCAATGCCTCCCCCCCTTGTGCTACAGCTGACCTTGTAAACGGGTAGCTTGCTGGCTCCGTTTAATCCACAGATGTGTATTGTTTGGCCTGCATCAATGTTTGGAAAAATGTGGATTGTTTACCAACATCTAAAAGTCAGGAAATTTCACATAAAAATTGCAATTTCCGGTTCTTCTTGAGAAATAATATGATATGTCTCTGGACCTGTGTTTTGCCAGGGCAATCCCCTTTCAACAGTGGGCAAGATCTCACCTCCAGGCACCCAGGCTGGCTTGGCCCATTTAGAGAACTTTCTTGACACCTGAAGACTTCTAAGTTAGCAACGTCTGGCTTGGCATGTACTTTTCCTGGCTGCCCACAAACAGAGCTTTTAAATACAATTTCAGGATCAGTCTCCTGAAGAGAGGAACAATAAGCATGTTCCTGAGTCAATGTTTTATTTATTTGTACATCTATTGTGAGCTAGAGAACCTCACAGAAAGGCCAGAATTTTAGTTCTTGGAGTAAAATTGAGCTCCTGCACCTTGGGGGTTGGCTGACCCAGCTTAGACCCTGTCACTCAACTTCTTGGGGCCTCAGTTTCCTCTTCTGTAACATGAGGCCTTGGGCTAGATGATCTCTTTGCTTTGAAATTCAAGCACATGGGTAGTAATTTAACACAACTCTGTTTACTTATGAGCTCTAAAGGTTTTAATGAAAGCAGAGCTCTTAAAACACCTCACTGACCCTTAGCGCAGGCCTTAACTAAATGTAAACAGGACCTGAATAATGGCCTTGTCTATTGTTCTGCCCACTCTTTAGCCTTGACATTCGGTACTTGACACACCCACAGAGGAATGAATGCCAGAGCATTAAAAGACCTGATGGTTCGCCTCCTATTTCTAGGAGACTCTGGTGCTCTGGGCCTTGCCTGACTCTGCCCTCATTTCACCAAAACACAAAGCCAACCACACCATCCCCAACCTTCAGTGCTGTACGCTTATGGTGCCTTCTTTCAGTCCTTTGTTCATTGCAACCACAGGACCTTTGCACCTGCAGTTGCCACCACCTGGAGTCCTCTTTACCTAGGTAACTCTCACATCACAGCACAAGCATCACACCCACCCTTCCCAGCCTCCTTGGCAAGATCAAGTCATACTAACACATGCTTTTGTCACATCAGCTCTGTTGTATGTAGCACCTGTCACAGTTGCACCTTTACATTTTACATGTCTGATTAGTTAACCAATGATGATCTCCCCAACTGAATATAAATTCCAGGAGGGCAGGGTCCACATCTGTCTTTGCTCCTTGTTGTCTCTCCAGTGCCTGGCCAACAGGAAGGTACTCAAATATTTGCTAGTAAGTCACTTCGTAAAAGGAAGAACAGAAATACAATCCCAAGCAGTCTGGTTCCAACACTAAGTCATATTACCTAATGTGGTACCTAATGGTTAAGAAGAATGTCTGTAGAATAAATGGCAGCTACCATCCATCCAGTCTCTGTCTCCCACCCCCCAAAACACACTGTATATGAACTAGTGGAGGAATCATCTCTGGATCAGAACTCTAGACAGATAAGGATCTCAGAACTCAACAACCTAAGAGCAAGTA